TTGAGGCGCTAAGCTTCCTGCTTACTTTGCTGGCTGCCACAGTCACCCCAGTATTTGCCCTGTCAGAACACTGGATCCACCTGCCCTGTGGCTGCATCATTAACTGCAGGAGGAATTCTTATGCAGTGTCTTCAGAAGAACTCAAAAGTAAGTACAGAAGGGTGACACGCAGCTGGGATGTATCTTGTTGTAGTAAAGAGGATAGGAAGTTAGTGTTAGTAGCAGGACTTTGTACTCCTTGAAATCGTTTACCTGAATTAGGTAGATGTTATTTGTAACAGTGTATGGGACATTAATGTGAGGCAGTTGGATGGAAATGGTGGATGCTGAGACACAGAAGCTAGGCTGATTTTCCCAGGTCACTGCCAGATCTTCTAGCAGAAGCTGGCGGACTCTGAATCCTAGCTTTGTGTGCCTCGCCTACACTGGGAAAGACATCTCTATCAAAATCTGACTTCCACTAATCAAATACATGGAGCATGCTAAGCATGTTTAATGTGGTAGGTAAAAAAATATGCTGATTGCAAGCAAATTATAAGGAGAGGAGCTATTGCTTGTACTAACCAGAAATCCCAGCGACATCAATAAGCAAATAGCAAAGGACATGATTTACGACAGGGACCTGTATCTCAGCGTGTTCATGCTGCTTGTTGAAAGCTGAGGAACTTCTACACAGTTTTTGCCAAAAAATATTCCTGTCCATGTTAACAAAATTTACCGTCGTGTAAAAGAGGATGCCAGACCTTCACTGGTAACTTTGGAATCTTCTAAAGCCCTGTTTTTCTCTGGGCCTCCTTGTAAAACCTGCTGGAGGAAGAGAAGTCAGTTGGCAGGGACCTAAAAGGATCATCTAGTCCAACTGCAAGAGTGAAGAGGTAAATACTCATGAGGATCTGGGTGCTGTTTCCCATTCTCTGGTGTGAAAGTTCTTTAACATTGGTGGGTGAATCCCTGACATTCACTGCATGTTCAGGGAGAAGGAAAGCTACCAAATCCTACAGAAAAGCCATTCTCTTTCAAGGCTTTCACTTGGTTTGGACACATTCTTCAAGTGCAGAATGGCTTGTGCTGCATCTGATACCGTTTTAATTGCTTTCCTGGAGAGGATGACTGCAGTTCACCAAGAAGGCAGTTTATTTCAGTTGTATTTAGTAGTGATATTTAGAGAGATAAATGTACAATGGACAGAAAAGTAGCAATTATAAAATTATTTAAAATAAATCTGTGACTTTTAGATACTTGTACTGAAGACTATTCCCAAGTTTTAATGCGGTGACCGTTAAGGTCAGAATTTCACTCATAATTATTTATGATCTCATAAGCATGCAAACTGTTAAGTAGAAGTAGAGGTTGTATAAATGTATCGTCATACCTTTTATTTTATAATTTAGCATGAAATTTTTGGTGGGAAGATTATTAGTTAAATAAAAGGCACTTTTACATACTACACAAAGTAAGATGAAAAGGGGGAGAAGGAAGGATCTCAGGTGATTTGTGATCACCTGAGGCAGAAGAATGAAAGAGTATAAATATTGGTTGAGAATTTTTATTTAATTGTTCAATTACTGTGAAAGATCAGTTGGAGCATTGACTTTAGAACAGAGAATATTAAAAAAAATGTGTAAATACATCAGATAGATATATATTTTTATTGTAAAATGCTGTTTTTCTTGCTTTACTATTGATATTGAAGGTTAGTTACAGATTCACAGACATATTTTCTAATTTTGTACAATTTTTCACCTTTAGGAATATAGCTGAACCAAGCTGTGAAAAAAAGAGTATTACAAATTTAAATGTTTTCTTCTTGTGCATATCTCATAAAACATCATACATCGTGTGATTTTCAAAATGGCAGATAATCTAGCATTTTCTGGGAATCCATTAACTTTGGAATTTCTGAATTCATTAAGAAGGCAGTGTAATAACATACTGTCTGAGAAGTCTACCTTCTCCACAATTCATTCTTTTTATGAATAGAAAATTATCTGTTTCAAGCAGTAATTAAATAATTTATTCCATGTTTTAGAATGTAATTTTCATTCTGTATGTAATCTCATTTTTTTCCTTGGTTTTGACTCTTTAATATGACATTTCTTCCTTTTCTGCTTAGCCAAACGTAGAGGTTTCGAATTCAACTTGTCATTCCAGCAAGGTTATGGAATCTACAAAATCTCCCATGAAAACCACCACCACCACAGTGGAGATGGTCAGTCTACATCCTGTCACAACCTGGTGAGTGATGACAGTGATAACTCTAAAGAACCTGGGAGCAGAAGTACTGACCTCCCCCACTGTGGGACAGCAGCATTCAGCATCCTGGCCCTGGCGGAATGCTCCCAGGATGTCCCACCAGGACCAGTGGCCAGGCAGGACCCCAGCAAGGAGGAGGGCACCGACCTCCTCCTTCCTGACAAATGGGGAACCCTTGACAGAGAAGAGGGCAGAAATTCTGAGCAGTCAACTTTCTTTGGAGAACCAGAAAGGAGGCTGTCACAGGAGGAAAGCCATAAACCTGAACTCACAGATTGGGAATGGTGCAGGAGTAAATCAGAGAGGACCCCTCGGCAGGTAAAATACTCATTTGTCCGTATTTTTTTCTGATGATAAGAATTGCCTTACAAAAAATAAGAATATTTTTTTTCTTACATTGAAATTATTAGTCTCATTGGTACTTTTAGTTACTTTTAGTAAAAAATCATACTTAGCATTGTATATTTTAGTAACTGCACACCTATTTGCAGATTCTGATCCTGCAATAATTTCTCACTTGCCATCTTAATGATGGGTATTTAATTATTATGATGATGATTTTGTGTGCGCCTTCCTGATCTCTATATGGTAAAAATTCAGTATGAATTATGTTAATTCACCTTAATGAATAGGAATTTTCTCTCCAAAAAATTACGTATTTCCAAGCATCTGGTGACTTTTTTTGTCATGCTAATGTTTTGGGTAGGGGACAGAAGAGAACTGCAAATCCCAACATGAATGATAAGTCCACAGAGAAATGCAGATTTAAATCTGGGCATAAAGATTCCTTTTAGATTCAAGCAAAAAGATCCCAAACATTATATTTTTCATCCTTTTCCTTTAGATAGTGAGTAGTTATTGGGAAGAAGAAATTCTGAGAAACTTATCAGTTGACAGAAGCTCTGAGGTAATAGTGAAGGTGGAGTCTTAATACATTAGCGCTTCAATTGAAAGACTTGTTAAAGGTGCCTGTAATCTCTTTGTGCAGAGGTTCTGTATCTCCTCTCTCATATTTGCTGTACATTGTATTGAATCCAACAGAGCTTTCCACAGCTTGGGAGAAAGGGAGTATCAAAAACTATAGGATTTAGGGACATATCGTCTAAAATTAATAGTGCTCCAATCTTGCGATATAACTCA